CTGGGCAGAGCTGAGGAGATGAGTGTTATATAACATTATGCAGTGGACGTCTATCTGGCCAATCACCCTTCTCCCTCTCTACCTCTAAAAAAGGCTTTGGATCTTCCATATTGCTAGGGACTTATCCCATTTATGAACATCCTATTTCTAGAGCTGTGGTTGTCAGCATTTGATTACACGTGGCTATCACCAAAAAAGTATTAGGATGCATCACCAAAATAAGTGTATTCATACACTACTTTTAAGTTACACATATATACTACTGTATTAATATAATGTTCGTTATAACATATACAAAAACATTTACATAACGAATAAAGAGAAATGCCAATATTCCCTTCCTACACCCGTGAGTGGTCTTGCAAACGATGCTTTCTAGACCACTGCACCAATTTGGTGAGTTTAGGGATACAGGACTTCCACCAACTTGCAAAATTAATCTTGTAAAAGCTACCTCACCTCTTTGGGCCTCACTTTCCTAAGATGTAATTGAACACATCGGAACAGAGATTACCTAAGGCCTCTTCTAGGAATCTATGTCTTTATAACTGTTCGCTGAAGTGAGGCTTTGAAAGCAAATGCAGGTTTCATTCATTCATTAATTTTACTCTGTCCTTCATAAAAAAAAGTTCAAGTATTTTAGTAGCTCCAAAACTGTTAGTAACATAAACAGTCTCAGTTCTGGAATTTAATATACTTGGTAGCACTTTCTTCTGTTTATCAGCCATAAGGGAAAGCTATAGAAATTTTATTTTCATCAATTACAGATCCCAAGTAGAATTCACCACTAGAAAAATATTTTCTCTTATGTTAAAAGATAAACGTATGTATTTGTCTTTGGGAAGCAATAAAGAATAGTAGAATAATACCCAAATAGTCTAAGGTTTAGATTAAAAAAAAGGTACAGAATTATAATCAAAATTATATCACTCAGTATATGACACTGGAAAGATTTTGTTGGGCATTTATCTAGAAAATTTAATGAATGTTCACCAGTAACCCAGATAACTTATGCAAGAAAAAAATCTTTATTCTTCTTCGATAATATTTCCCCTAGATTCTTAAGGTATTGCCTCAAAGTATTCATTTGGCCTATAAAGAAATAGGCTTTACAAATACTTTATATAAGGAAATAAATACAGTAAACAAAAAGAAATAAGGAAAATAAAATCAACTGAATTTTTTATCAACTACTTCTTCTGAAAGTTAAACCGATTAAGGAACAAAAAATTTACAGATATCAGAGTGTTAGCTATATATTACATTATTTTTGAGTACCTTCTTTTGAAGAGTAATTAGAGAAAAAGTGATAAGTTGGGGAGCAGAGAAAACCAAACATTGAATAGCTGATCTTTGTTTGCTTCTGTAATAAACATGGCATCAGCCAGGCGTACAGAACCCCCTTTGCAAGTGATAGGAAGTACCATTATTTTAACTGCACTTATGTAAGAAGGGATTTGTTTACAAAACTGAAGGCAAGATTAAGCAATAAAAGGTAATGATTAGAATTTTTAAAATAAGATCAATAACTAAAAAACATTCTGAAATGCAGTAATAAAAAATAGAAATTCCAGAAGAGGAGCAATCTATCAAGACTAACCACTTAAATCAGGGGTCCTCAAACTACAGCCCGCGGGCCACATGCAAATACAAATATTGTATTTGTTCCCGTTTTGTTTTTTTACCTCAAAATAAGATATGTGCAGTGTGCATAGGAATTTGTTCATAGTTTTTTTTAAACTATAGTCCGGCCCTCCAACGGTCTGAGGGACAGTGAACTGGCCCCCTGTTTAAAAAGTTTGAGGACCCCTGACTTAAATAATAGTACTTCAAACTGAACATCTGAAGGCCACATGACACTGGTTTCCAAACATAAACCAAATCTCTTGTTATTTGCACTCAGAAAGCACATAAATTAATTTCATGCTCTGTATAAAGATTTTCTAGTATTAAAAATGTAAACATGGCTCAGCGGTTAAGCGTCGGCCTATGAACCAGAAGGTCACGGTTCAATTCCCAGTCAGGGCACAAGCCCGGGTTATGGGCTTCCCAGTGTGGGACATGCAGGAGGCAGCCCATCAATAATTATCTCTCACTATTGATATTAATATTGCTCTCTCTCTCCCTCCCTTTCTGAAATATATATATATATATATATATATATATATATATACATACATACATATATATATACACACTTTTATATATAAAAGTGTAAACAGATGGCAATTTTAATGAAAAGAAAGTTTCTCCATAACTTTATATGTTTGTATTTGTGCTTACTTTAAAACTTAATCCTACAGAGAAGAAAATACTAGTATGTTTCTGATGAAATGTAGATTGAATCAAAGTAGTGTGTGTGTGTTTGGAAAAAGGGGTTTGATAGATACATAACAGGATTTTTATTATACAGGGTGGGACAAAAGTAGGTCTATAATAGTTTGTATGGGAAATACAATAATTAGTAAATAATAATACAAGAATAAACTCTTTCACATATTCACAACTGTAAACCTACTTTTACTCCCACCCTGTATGTCTAATCAAGAAAATAAGTCCAGGAAACCTGCACTGTCTTTGTTTTGAAAAATTTTATGCTTCTGTAGTTGATTGCAAAATGAATGAAATATTGTGGCACAAGAACTAATGAGTCATGCAGGAAATGCTTGGACTAATACAGTACATTCAAACAGCAAGCACTGAAATGTCCAAATAATATACTACATTTTTCCTTCAAATCAAAGGTTCTTGAGATTGAAAACAAAAAAGCAGAGCGAATTTTATCAACTGCATTTTTCACTTATCCAGTTTAGCATATTAACTGAAATTGTATCTCAATCCCTCAACTCCCAGGATGCCTTCAAAAGACACATTCTTAGTAAATTCATGCAAACCTGCTCTGCGATTAATTAGTGTCCTGCCATCACCAGTACAAGTGATATAGTCTCCCCAGCAGATGAGAGTCCCTTAGAAGTCAAAGTACTACTTTCAAATGTTTTCAGAAACCTTAAGTGAGCAAACACTGAGCATCTTTCTAAATACTGTATTAGTTGACCCAACAACAAAAAGCCCATGAAAACAACGTTCGTTGAAGAACTAGCTAAATAAATGAAGTAGAAAGCTCTCGATAGGCAAAGAACAGCAACACACGCTCCAATAGTAGGGAAACTGGAGCCATGTCAAATTTTCAAATGATTCTTGACCATGTCTGTACTGAAAGTTCCTATCCTCGATCCAGACCGAGCCCTGTTGTGTTATATGCAGCATCTTCGTCCTACGTGGATTCTGCCAATGACTAATAAGGAAAGATGCGCTGCAACCCGAAACTGGAAAGAGACCCATCTTACTGATGTGCTCGGAGGAGTCTGTGCCAAAGAAATGATTCCGCTTCATCAAGAAACCCACAGAACAAATTAATTAGAAAATGCCGTCACTGCACCGACTCCGGAGCTCCTCGGCTTGGCAAAGCTTTGTTGTCAAAGGAGGGAAAGATGCTAGACTCGTTATTCAATGTGTCGGGACCTCAGTTTACGTAATCCCACGGCACTGGACACCCTGCATAACGACGAAGCGACTTTCCAGCATTTTCTCAAAATGCCTGGCCATTTCGCAGCTCCTGTTATCATGACACGAATGAAGAAGTAACCTTTCGTCTTCAAGACGCCAAGCTCCGAGCCAGCACTTGTTTGATGAGTTCCCTTTGTCCCTGCCTGAGACCTGCACTCCCCCGGGCATCAGAGCAACCCCGGTCCCAGGAGCCTGTGTCCCCTTTGCTCTCTCACCCCCTTAGCTCCAAGCGGGCCCTCCTGCAGCCGTCCGTCCACACACAGAACCGGGCACCATCCTGCCAGGCCACCCAGCGCAGGTCTCCCCGCGAATACCTACCAATCCGCCTGGGCCCGGGGCACACACACATTCTCCTGTCATCACAACACGGAGCCGACAACATCCACAACCCGCGCGGAGAGCAGCAGCGGCAGCAGCGGCGGCCCATTGGAAGCAAGGCAGAGATGCTCATTAGAGGAGGCGGCGGCGGGGAGGCGGGAGCGCGGGGGGGGGGGGGGGGTGGTAGGGGGAGGGGCGAGGTCTCGATCGGGCCGGGTGAATGGGGCCGGGCTCGGAAAGGGGGGAAGAGGACGGAAGGAGAAAGGGGTGGGGAGGAGGGAACCAGACCAACCAACCTAGCCCGCGGGAAAGGCAGAGCCACGGCCCCAGCCGCTGGGGGCCAAGACGCCAGCCGGGGCGCGCCCTAGGACCGGCCCCTCCATCCAGCCCGGGCGCGGAGCCCACGGGCGCGGCACGCAGTGGCCTCCGCCCGCGGCCCGCCCGGGCCCACCCGGCCACGGCTTCAGCTCAGACCCGGGGCGGCCAGCGGCGGGCTTCTCGTGGAGCCACCCGGACCCCTGGGTGTGTAAGGGGGGGGGCCCGCAGGCGCAGGCGCCGCACCTCCCAGCAGTTCGCCCTTCCGCGGGCCGCCCGCACCCCGAGCTCGCGCGCCCCCCGCGCCGCCCCCACGGCCGCGCACACCTGGCGCTCGGGGCCCGTCCCCCACCCCCGCCCCCGCTCCCGCCGCCCGTCCTCCCATGCTCTCGATCGCCGCGCCCCACGCGCCGGCTCCCCCTTCACCGCTCCGCGCGGGTGGAGGACTCCATCGAGGCGGTGCGGGGCTGGAGCGGGGAATACGAACCGGGCACGGCAGGCAGGAGCCGCTCCTTCCCGATGAGGAGGCGGCGGCCGCGCGGACCGTCCGACGCTCCCTCCACAAAGCCCCGAGCAGCTCCGGGCGCGCGGGTCCTCGCCCACTCCGCGCCCCCGCCCTGCCGGCCGCCACCCGCCGCGCCCCGCCCCGCCCAGCCCGCGCGCTCGGGGGCTCCTCCCGCCTCGTGATTGGCTGCGCCGCGGCGGGAGGAGGAGCGCGGCCGAGGGGGGCGGGGCGGGGGGGCGGGGGAACGGCGCGCGCCCGCCGGCTTGGTGACGTCACGGGGGTCAGACAATCTCTTCCATTTGGCACCGTTGCCCATTGGCTCCGCGGGCCGCCTCACGTGACCGCGCCCAGGGCGGCGCCGCCGGGGGCACCGGCGACCTGCAGGGCTGGGCGACGGGGACCCGGCGGTTGGCGGCGACCAGGTGGGCGGTGGGACCGGGAAGGAGGGAGGACTTGGCGCGGCCCCAGCACCCCGATGCGCGTGGAGCCCGGGCGCTGCTGCTCCCCGCCGGGCGCGCTTCCGCGAATCGCTGGCACCTCGGCGGGGGACCGGCCGGGGGTGTGGCCGCCTCGCCTCGCCTCCCGGGTGGGCTGAGGCCTGGAGAGATGGATGAATTGACGGCTGGGGGCGGCTCCCTGCCTAACCGGAAACAGCTCCCGTCCCGCATCCTCTCGGTCGCCGCGCTCATTTGTTACTTTGCAGATTTGAGGAGCGTTAACACTGGTGATGCCTTATGGACACGTGTCGGGTCCCAGGGAGAGCCGCGCGTGTAAATGAAGGGGGAGGAAGTTGCGGGCCGTCGTGTGCTCGCGTTTCCTGAAGGCCCAGGGCTTTGGAATGAGTGTCGTGTGGCTGGTCCTGCACGGTTACCAGGGGGAGGGCGGGTCCGGCGCTGCAGGGGGGAGACCCCCCCTCCCGCCCCCGACGTGGAGTCCGAGGACTTCATCCAGGTCATTCCCGCCGTGGGAGGCGAGGTGAGGCCTGGGGCGGCATTGGCGTCCGGGGATTCAGGGGAAGAGACCTCCAGGGCTCCTGCACTTGCCTCCGTCCACACGCACCCGCTCCTCCGGGGACCGGGGCCGTGGCGGTGGGTTCTGAAAGCCCCTTGGGGGCGGCGGGGAGATCATCGCACTCACCCTGCCTCGTGTTAGCGCATAAACGGCGACTGACCAGCGGTTCTCAACCTGTGGGTCGCGACCCCTTTGGCGGCCGAACGACCCTTTCACAGGGGTCGCCTAGACTAGTGGTCGGCAAACTCATTAGTCAACAGAGCCAACTATCAACAGGACAACATTGACATTTCTTTTGAAAGCCAGATTTTTTGAACTTAAACTATATAGGTAGGCACATTGTTATTAACTTCATTAGGGTACTCCTAAGGCTTAGGAAGAGCCACACTCAAGGGGCCAAAGAGCCGCATGTGGCTAGAGAGCCGCAGTTTGCCGACCACTGGCGACCATCCTGCACATCAGATATTTACCTTATGACTCATAACAGTAGCAACATTACAGTTATGAAGTAACAACGAAAATAATGTTATGGTTGGGTCACAACATGAGGAACTGTATTTAAAGGGCCAGAAGGTTGAGAACCACTGAGCCTTCCTCTGTTTGGTAGCCAGTAAAGCTCGCAAAGTGATGTACGCTGGATAGAAGCTGCCATATTAACAGTCATGGAGTTTTATTTATTTTAATTGTTATTGTGTGTGTGTGTTTTCAGAGAGAGAGAAGGGAGAAGGAGAGAGAAACATAGGTGAGAGCGAAACATGAAACTTCAACATCCATCGGCTGCCTCCTGCCCGCCCCCTGCCGGGCGATCTAACACGCGGTGCCCGGAGTGGGAATCCAACCGGTGACCTCATGGTACATGGATCCGGGCGCAGCCACCGAGCCACAGCCGCCAGGCTGGAGTTTTATTTTTGTGAATCTTGCATTATCTGATTTTTATGTAATAAAGGAAGAACTTTATATACAGAGAACAGTGCCAGAAACTGGTTCTTCATAACCCCCAGGTCTTTCCAGCTGCCTCCTCTTTTCTCTAAATAAATAAGGGCAAAGCCATTTTGCCAGTCCCCAGGGTGCCACGGAACTCTGTGGCTGCTCTACGTGGCTTTCATCCTGGTTTACACGGGTCCATCTGCCTACCTCACTTCCTCCCATCTTTCTGCTTCTTAAATGAGCTCCCCGTTGTCTTTTATCCTATTTATTTGATTTGTACCAGGTTTTCCCTTGTCTCATAGAGACACGTTAGGTGGTGTAGCATATTGTCAGAGCATAGATGAAGCCAGACTGCCCCGGTTCCAATCCCAGCTTTGGTCTTAGGCAACATCTTTCTAGTTCAGTTCTTTCATATGGAAGATAGGAATAAAAAAGTAATATAAGTAAAGTAAAAATAGTCAAAATATTGAGTTAATATAAAGCTTAGTGTATCATGCTAAGAAAGTTCAAAGCAGGTAATAGTAAGGGCTATGTAAGTAGGGCTATTATTAGAGGTTCGGAGACCCAGACTCCCAAGGGCAATATGGCCACCCAATAGGCTTGCTTTAAAAGTTATATTACGTATTAGTAGACAATAATAATACAGTTAGATTATGTATTAGTAGACATTATTAATAGATTAGAGCAGGGGTCCTCAAACTTTTTAAACAGGGGGCCAGTTCACTGTCCCTCAGATGGTTGGAGGGCCGGACTATAGTTTTTTTTAAAAAAAAACTATGAAGAAATTCCTATGCACACTGCACATATCTTATTTTGAAGTAAAAAAACAAAACAGGAACAAATACAATATTTGTATTTGCAAGTGGCCTGCGGGCTGTAGTTTGAGGATTCCTGGGTTAGAGGGTCTTATGTAAGGAGTGTCACTGCTTCTTAGCCCCTACTCTGAAGACATGGAGACCAGTTAACTGAAGTTAAGAATTCATTTTTATTTTAAAAGTTTCTGCCTGGGACTCAAATGAGTTTTATAGTAGGTGTGTCTGTTTTCTATAACCTTTTTCCTAACGATTGTGAAAATAGAGTAATGAGACTCCAGAATGTCATCCCTCGGTATTGTCAGATTGGTTCCAGAAACCCTCTCCCCACTGATACCAAGACCCACGGATGCTCAGGTCCCTTATGTAAAATGGCATAGAATGATGTATACAGTCGGCCCCCTGCACCCACAGATTCCCAACCACAGGCAGAAAATACTGTTTTCAATCAGTGGTTGACCGCGAATATGAAACGCGTGGATATGCAGGGCCTACTGTGTATCCACATCAGTGATCCTTTCAGAGTTGTCACCTTGGTAGCATATACCTTATTTGACACCAACATTGCCTTTATTCCAAGCACTTTTAAAATTACCTTTCAAATTGTTTTTTGGATCTGCCCAGGAAACGCCAACTTGTTTTACTCTAACCAGCACCTTGGTTTTTACACCAAAATAGTATTGATTCCCTCATCTTATGAGTCTTAGTTCCGAATGACCTAGCTGTTTCTTAAAAATGACACCCACTTGCAAATAATTGGTATTTGCCACCGCTAAATATAGTCAAAGGAACTTGTCATGTGTATTGAAGGCAAGGCCAAGATATTTCTGGAATCAGAAGAAAGGTTCACCAAAGTAATAGCTTTGAAATACTCATTGAGAGGTGTAAGTTTTGTTCTTTAGCTGCAGAGTGGTATGATTTTGTAATCTGTATATTATAAAAAAAAAGTCCCAGTCCTTCTGCAGAGGCGGTAACTGCTTGTACCACTGGGGTGTGGGGATGTGATTCTTAGGCGTCTCGACCTGGTCTCTCCTCTCTGGCCTGGCTTTCTTCCTGTCTCTAGATGGAGCTCTGTTTGGCCACCCAATAGGCTTGCTTTAAAAGTGCTGTTTGTCATCATCACATGGCCATCTGGCCAGGGCTGTGGCAGGTCCTTGGGTTTGGTGCTCTGACCCCAGACTGTTTTAGCCACTAGAACACCTGTTGACACTTCAGCATTGGAAGGTGCAGGAAAGTAGCCCTGAAACAACCCAGGAGTTCTGTAGAGAAGGGCAGGCAAGGGGAGGGGAAGGGGCTTTAAAAATAGCACGGTCCAAAGAAAGCTCTGTGCACTAGGAAAAGTGCCTGTTTTGTCTGCACACATGCTTTCTGTGGTGACAAAGATGCAAAGACAGTTCCAGAATGACCTTAACAGTCATTGTCCTGCCCTAGAGTAAACCTGGAAATGAGCAAGTGCTCAACCAGTTAGGCCCCGTGTTCTTGTGGGGGAGTGACGACACCCTTGGGGGTGTTGGAGGCTAGCTGCCACAGCCTGGAGTGGCCCAGCAGAATCTCAGTGGCACCAGCCAGGAGGCTTAAAGAGACCGGCATGAGGGTTTGAGGTGCTGTCGGTCTGCTGGTTAGTGACTTACTGTGGCCTTTGCCGAAATCAGCAAGGGAAGAGAGGCTGGCCTGCACACTCCTCTTTAGCGCTCCTGCCCGCCAGGTCTTGGGATAGGAAATCAGCACGTAATTATGAAGCACATAAGCAATAGGTACCTGTTTGATTACCGTCCCAGGGTTGCGAGTTGCTTATTTGAAACTAAGTTATGTAGAGCTATGCACCGAGAATGGCAAATCATCTGTAAGAAAGAAACAGCAGGTATTCTGGCTCACCTCTTGTGGGCCAGAGGCTGCTATAAGTGCTTTCACGTTTATCTTATTTCATATTTTAAAAGTAATCTGTTCTCATCAGAACTCGTAAGACAACAACAGTATGTTAAGGACTGCGCCAGGTCTCTGGACCTTGTTACTGGAAAGGGGACCTGGACCTGACCGGGTCTGCCTAGGGTAGTGTGTGGGTCCTTGACTTTGTGCAGGAAAAATTTCACAACACGAGTCCAGGAGAATTTTAGACCAGCGGTCGCCAGCCGGTGGTCCGCGAGGTCCGAAAGGTTGGCGACCGCTGTTTTAGAGGACGTTTGTTAAAGCTGGGAACAGTGAAACAAACAAGGGCTGGGGAAATGAGCCTGGGCTGGGCTGCCTTGGCTCACGAAGAAGTCGGAGAAAAGGGGGCCTTGGGGCCAGGCTCAGGGCGGGTTGCCTGGGATGACCTGCCATTGCCCATTGCTGTCCTGGCTGCAAGCCTTGCACAGGTGTACTCCTGGTAGGGAGAGCACTGGCTGGGATGTTTGTTTTGAGGGATTTTAAAGGCTGGACAGAGAGGTCTTAAGGGAGGATCTCAGTAGAATATTCATCACCTTTATGCTGATGGACCAAAATGAGGTTTATTCTCTTAACTTCCTCTGTCCTTGGGTGTGGTTGGCAAATGGCACTAGTTGGATTTCTGTATCTGTCTCCCAGAGTAGGGAGATTTAAACTGTTTACCCTCTGATTGGGAAGAAGTGCAAACCATTTACTCTGAAGTGTCCCTGGTTAGGGAAGATAGGATTCTGCTATTTACTAGACCAGTG